TTCGACTAACCAATACTCGCATTGATAATTTTCTTACGAGTAATTCATTAATTTCATTGGTGTTTGAAAAACGAATGAATTGCGGTAGATAGCTTTAGCTCCACCCACTTAAAAAGAATAAAATTAAATTTTATGACTTTCAGAGAACGTTATAAAAACATCGCACTGAATTTTTTTGTTAGAATTTGTCTCGAAATAAAATTAAATATTTTAATAAAAGAAATGAAAAGATGAATAGGTAGAGATAACAATTTTTTGTGTTTTAAACTTGAATGAAGGATAAAAATGTATTTACTTTCAAGAAAAAAAATATTTTATGACAAAATATTTTATTCAATGAAATTTCGTCTTAACTCAATTATTAATTCCCCTGAAACGAACAAACTGCTCGAAAACCTCACTGATAAGCACTCAAAAACAATTCTTGAAACAATTTTTTTGCTGTCCAACAGCGTGGACAACTTCCCCGAAGAGCTCATAGAGCCCCAGGTCTACTTTGCTCTTTGTTATCGCTATCTCTATTTTTTTTTTCATCAAGTACAAAAAGTCATCCTCCAAGCTGTTTGATGTTTCAGATTCTCATGTTCTTTTTTGACACTTGGGTCCGTATTTTGTGGTTTTGTATCAAGTCTCGGGTTGTGTTGGAGCCGGATTTTTGGTGATTGTTATCTTAAAATTTACCACAAGGAAAAATACCGGAAATTTTGACGGATTCTCACATATTTAATGATTATGATTTATGTTTTAACAGTGTTGATATCCACCTTGTGTTTCAATTCTTAATGTTTGTTTTTACTTACATTTACATACATTTAAAAAATTAACAAATTACAAGGAGAGCAATTTTAGATTAGTTGTAGCAAATGCGATTTTTATTGTAAATTCCTGCTATTTTAAGTAAACAAGAATTACCAAGGTTAATTAATTCTAATTAAATTAAATCCAATTAGAAATTATTGCTGTATTTTGTTAAAAAATACAATAAATATTTTTTTATTTAAACTACATTTCATTTGTGACTATGTTCTTAAAAAAATTTTTTAAATACATACAGAGTGATTCAAGAATTTAATCCACTGAAAATCCACATACATTTGTTACATTTTACCCTCAATTTTTCATAAAATTACGAATTTTTGTATTTTTTTGTCAAAACTGAAATTGCGTCATAGGTTTGAAATTTAATTAACTTACAGGGTGATTCAAATGAGATGATATATCGAAATTTGTTAGCTTTGGTGCCGCTGCAAAAAAGATTAACATTTCTCAAGAAAACTTTTTTTTATTATTTTTTTAATATTCCTAGAGTTTACTGTTTTTTATTAATCAAGAGTCACAAAAAATGAAACTTGGTTATGTTAAATGAATTACTCTGTATATTTATTAAAAATAATTATTTATTATTATCTTTTGATATTAGGTACTAAAATTCGAGTTTATACTACGAGTAGTCAAATTTCAAGTAATTGAGGTCTAATATATAGGGTGATTCAGCAATGATGACATGACATTTTTTTTCAAAATTTTTATGTTTTTAAAATGTCAAACTTGTTATAGTTAACACCCGATTTTCTCTGAATTTAAGTCAAATTACGTACAGAGTGATTCAGTAAAGATGTAAATACCGATCAAAATATACTGCGTTTTCTGTAACTATACAGGGTGCGCCAGAAATTATTTTTCTAAGCGTTTTTTGTTTTTTATTAAGACTAAATTTAATTAAACTTTAACAATTATACAGAGTGATTAGTAAAAGAAAACCTTTCGAAATTTATTAGTTTAATTAATTGAATTATCCTATAAATCAAGCTTCCCGATAATTTTAGTCTAAATTAATTTTTTTTTAATTCTAAGGTTTTTTTTGAACGTTTAAATGCATTTATTTAGCGAGAAACGCAGCTTTTTCTGAAATTTCACTCAAACTAGTCGAAAAATCACCAAATCAGGTCAAAAATGATATTACTTTTACTTTTTTTGAGCGTTTAAACACGTTTTTGAGGTGTAAACTGTTTTCTTTTTGTAAGATTCCGCCAAAACAAACCTAAAATTCACAAAATGATGTTATTTTTGATTATTTTTAGTTTGTTTTTGAGCAAGATTTTGCAGAAGATATCGAAAATCACTTAAAAGCATCAAAAATTAAGTAATTTTTTAGTTTTCCAAAGAATCATGAACGTTTTTCGGTCAGAAACGCACTTTTTTTCGCAAATTTCTGCTCAAAAAACAAACAAAAATTGCGAAATAAGGTCAAAAACGATGTTTTTTTTCGAGCGTTTAAGCACAAAACTTAGATTTTTTCGTAAAGATTAACCAATGTAGCCTAAAAAATTATCAAATTAGATTAAAATTTACGTCGTTTTGAGGCTGAAATTCATTTATTTTCAAAATTTCGTCAAAACAAACCTAAAATTCATCAAACTAGTTAGAAAATTATGTTATTTTTGACTATTTGGCTTCATTTATCATTTCTGAGCAAAATTGTGTCAATATAAGCCGAAGAATCGCATTTTTTGCTCAAAATAACACAGAATTTAGGATACAGCTTCCTTGTTTTCTCTGCCTGTAGCAAAAAAAATAAAAAATTATTCTTCCAATAGAAATAAATAAAGTCAAAGGTGCAAAATTTAAATTCTTTTTTTAACATGTTCCTGGTATCTTACCTTACATGTAATTTTTCTCTGGGGCCCGAGTTCTGACGCACCCGGTATAAATATAAAAATTATTTTTCTAAGCGTTTTTTGTTTTGTTAAGACTAAATTTAATTAAACTTTAACAATTATACAGAGTGATTAATAAAATTAAACCTCTTGAAATATATTATTAGTTTAAGTGATGTAAATCAGAAATTTTAATATTACTTAATCTAACTTAACAAGATGAAAGTTAAAACTACAGTTTTAACAGTTTTTACAGTTTTAGTTTTCATAAAAAATAATGACTGATAAAACTCAAAAAATTTAGAATTGTAGATTATACAACATTTAAAAAATCGCCATTTTAACTGAGACATCCTGTATTTCGACAAAATAACAACTATACATGGAGAACCATTAGATAAAGTAAATACAAAATTGTATTACTGCTTGCCTATACATGTTTATTTTTCACGGATTAATTACAATATTTTGCAATTAAAATTTGTAAACATATGAACCCTCAAGGCTGTTCAATAAAACAAAAATCAGAAATAAAACATTTTAACACAAAAAACGCTTGTTTTTTTTAAGTAAAAATGTGTAATTTTTTCTGAACACTTGTGAGTGTAGGAAAAATTGTTAAAGACCAATTTCCTCATTCCCGAAACTTGTCATTTGTTAATTCCACTGAAACAACGACTAACCTCGTCTGATTAAAAATAAACTTGCTTGTATTAAGCGTCAGTCGTTTGAAAAATCCTGATCTAGTCACACAGTGCCGCTGAAAACTCCTGAAAAGTAAGTCACACTCGATTCTAACCCATCTCCAAAGCCGAATTTCAGTGGACGCCATGGACGAGTTGTCCAACATCACGGGCAACTTCTCCGACGAGCTGGTGGAGTCCCAAGTCCCCCTCCACGAGCGAATCTTCCTCGAATTGTTCACATTGGTGGCCTTGCTCTCACTTGCCGCCAATTCGCTTCTCATTTTCGTCATCGTCAAGTATAAGAAGTTGCGAAAAGACGCCACCAATGTGATTTTCCTCCACGTCAACATCCTCCAAGCTGTTTACTTCTTCAGTGCACCGCTGACGTGGCGCACGGCCATCTACTTTTTCCTCGACTCTCCGGTGCATTTCACCGTGTTTTGTGCCCTGTTTCAAATCGAGGCTTGTGTGGGGGCGGCCATTATCGGATTTTTGTTCCTCCTCATCTGTGATAGTTATCTCAAGATTTATTATAAAGAAAAATACCGGAAATTTTGTCGAATTTACAAATTTTTCATAATTGTGATCTATATCCTCATGTTGTGCACTTGCACGATCACTGTCAATGTTTGTTTCGGTAGACATATGTTTGCGTTTACTTATGTTTTCATCTTTTTTGCGATTTGTGTTGCCATTGCGATTTTAATCATCATTGATATTATTCACGTTTTCAGGAAACGGAAATTGACTAATTACAAAGACAGCAATATTGGTTTAGTTGTTGCGAATTTTTATTTCTTATTGTGGACTCCTTGTGTTATTTTTTTGCTCACCAGTTTTATACGTGGTCAAGGTGGACACATTACGCTCATACTTTTATTTGTACTCGGATTTACAAGTCCGATTTTTAATTTAATTTATGTTTATTGTTGTGATAATAACTTTAATGTGTTTCTGAGACAGGTGTTTACGTGTAGGTGTAAGGAATACAAAAATGAGGATTTGGAAGACCAATCTGTGGTTTATAGTGATGTTAATGGCGTGCAAATTAACGCAAATTAAATTAAATCCAATTAGAAATTGCTGCTTTATGATTGTTAAAATAAAAAAAAATTCTTTATACAGTTTTCTTTTTCAATTTTTCCTGATATTTAAATATTTTTTTCGTAGATTTTTTACTGAAAAAAGTGACATCATCTCAACTTTTCACCCTTTACATAAGAAGCATTTTTTAAAATTTTTTTTAGTCAAAACTATGTACCTATAAATATGTTGATTTTGATGTCGCTGTCTTAAAAAAAGTCAAATTTATCAAAAAATCTATTTTTCTTCACAATTTTTTGGTACCACTGCAATTTGTCGTATTTCATTAATTAAAATTTAATACAGAATGATTTAAAAAAGATTCCTCCCAGTCACGGACATATTAACTGAATTAACCTGTATATCAGACAAGTTTTGTCAGTATTTTTTTTAATATTACTGAGATTACATGTAATATATAAAATACAGAGCGATTCAGGGAATATGCCGAATCTGCTGATGTTTAGTGTGACAAATTTTTTTTATTTTGATACTTTTTTTACTTTTTTTTAAATTTATTCTACAAACTAACAAAAAAATGAGAAAAAACTGACGCGACCTCAACTTATTTTTTATTTTGTTATAAATTTTTAAAACATTTTTTATTAATTAAAACTAAAAATATGACACAGTTATTCCTAATTTTATCAACTTTTATTACTTACTGGGTGATTTAGAAATATATTGATTTTGGTGTCGCTGTCTTAAAAAAAATTAAAATTTTCAAAAAATCGTTATTTTTCAAAATTTTTACTAAAAATATGACACAGTTTTTTCCAATTTTATCAACTTTTATTACTTACAGTGTGATTCAGAAATTTATTGATTTTGGTGTCGCTATCTCAAAAAAACTTAAAATTCTCAAGAAATCGTTATTTTTCAAAATTTTTACATTTAAATTACTCTACACAATAATAAAAAATGCAGTCATCTCAACTTACTCATCCTTTATATTTTTTTAGACATTTTTTAGTCAAAATTAAAAATGTCATAGGTTTATGAAATTTTATCAACTTGTATTATTTACAGGTTGATTCAGATAAGATGATTCAACGAAATTTGTTGTGTTTAAATAATGCATATGTATTAAAATTTCTCACAAAATCTTTTGTTTTAATTTTTTGGTACCACTGCTGTTTGCCGTATTTCATTAATTAAAATTTAATACAAAATGATTTAAATAAGGTTGCTCCCCGACACGGACATATTAACTGAATTAACCTGTATATCAGACAAGTTTTGTCAGTATTTTTTTTTAATATTACTGAGATCAGATGTAATATATAAATAAAATACAGGGCGATTCAGGAAATATGCTTAATCTGCTGATTAGTGTGACAATAAAATTTTATTTTGATACTTTTTTTTTAAATTATTAAAACATATTTTTAAATTAAAACTAAAAATATGACACGGTTTTTTCATTTTTATCAATTTTTATCACTTACAGGGTGATTCAGAAATTTGTTGATTGGGTGTTTTTTTCAAAATTTGTACTATTTAAATTACTCTAACAGTAATGAAAAAAATGCAGTCATCTCAACTTACTCATCCTTTATATTTTTTTAGACTTTTTTTAGTCAAAATTGAAAATGTCATAGTTTTATGAAAATTTTATCAACTTGTATTATTTACAACGAAATTTGTTGTGTTTAAATAATACCTATGTATCAAAATTTCTTACAAAATCTTTTTTTTTAAATTTCTGGCAAGTTTTTGGTGCTATAGCAGTTTATAAATGTAATACAGAGTGATTCAACAAGCCACGGTGATATTAAGTGAATCAACCTGTACATCTATGTCTGAAAGATTTTAATTTCGTGATGATGGAAATACCAATTGTTTTCTTAATTCGTTTTTGATTATTATTAGGAAGCTAATGTTTATAACTTCTAGTTATATATCTGTAAACTGTTTGAAAGAATTTGAGCCGTATTGTTTATAAAACTAATTAATTAGGAAATGATTTACAAAAATGATTATTTTTAATGTCAAAAAGTATTTGAAGGCAGGAATAGAATAAATTGTTTATCGAGTTTTAAAGATCTTGTTTTGACGGTATATTAATGATGTTTCTTTTGTGATAATTCTTATTGAAGTTGTTAAAATTAGTTCTTATCAATGCGATAAGGAATAATTAGAAATCAAAAGGTCACGCAAGAAATCTTGTGATTAGTGTTCCGAGGATTGTTATCAGTTGTAAACAATTTTTGTGGGGAATAGAAACCGGGTAATTTTGCTCAAACGTATTTTTTGAGTTATTTTTTACAGAATTCGCGCCCCAGAGAAAAATTTCAAGTAATATAAGAAACCAGGAACATGGAAAAAATGTTAAAAAAAATTTGACATTTGACATTTTTATGTCTATTTAATAATACTGATGATACAAAAAATTTTCCAATGAAAGCCACAAACAACATTTCGTTACAATTTAGGATACAGTTTTCTTGTTTTTTTAAGAGAAATAAATAGAATCAAAGTGCAAAATTTAAAGTCTCATAACTTCGAAATTTTTATAGATAGAATTTTTTAAACATTTTTTCCATGTTTCTGGTATCGTACCTTATATGTCATTTTTCTCTGGCGCACCCTGTATTTCTGAGCTCTTTTAAAAATTAGTTGTATGTTAATAAATATTTTTGAAACAGTTTAGTACCTCACAAGTTTTGAATTTAATAAATTACAGAGCAGTCTTGCCATATCTTGCAAAATTTCACCAAATCTGGTAATTTTCGTTATAGTCTTCTTGAAAAAACTTAGTAGTAATTTTTTGAAAACAAAAAAGCCTTTTTTCAACTAGAAACTTAATTATTTCGACAAATTAAACCAAAAAAATCGAAAAAAATAGTTTTTATTATATGTTAATAAATATATGTTTTAACAATTTAGTACCTCAAAAAGTTTTGAATTTAATAAATTACAGAGCAGTGTTGCCAAATCTTAAA